CCAGTAATGACATTTTCAGTGGATTGTTTTTCCCTCTCTATTGCAAAACCACCAACCAACCAACCAACCAACCAACCAACCAAACTCACCTGTACTGACTGTTTTAAAGTCACTGATCCTTTACAGAACCATTTCCAATGCTTTTGTAAAACACAGATTTTTCAGATTTCCAAACCTCTCGCATGGAAACACAAACTTCAGTAAGAACTGATGATCTTTCTACTGCATTATGAAGCAACAGAGAAATCACACCAGTAGTGAAAGCGAGTATACCTTGCAATGGCAGAATTGTTGGTCCCTATACGCAGAGATCCCCATCACAGAGAATGTTTTTTTATATATATGATGGATTAAAGGCAGCATTACCATAATTGCACTGAGCTCCCTCCCAGCCTTTGTCACAGATGCAGGAATACGATCCAATATTGTCCTTGCAGGCCCCATTGGAACAAGGCTTCTGTGCACATTGATCTCCATCTGGAACACGCAGTTAAGAGCCTGAGCTCTGGCTCAGAGCAAACACAAAAACAAGCAGATCCCTGATCCCCAGGCACCATGCACAGCTTCTGCCTCCACACGGTGATAACTGTGGGGCTGCCCCAGATAAAGGCGTTTGTTTATGCTTTGAATTACAACTGCAGAAGGAGTGGAGTGGGCAGAAAGGAAAGAAAGTAAAACCTGAGGCAGCCAGGGCAGAGGCAAGTTACTGCAGGAGCAGAGAGCAATAACTGGGGCTTCTCTTTGAGCCATGCCAGGCAGGGACAGAGCAGCAGAGATCACTCTTGCCCAGTGCCTCAGCTGTGGGGAGGTGACTGATAATGGGTACAGATGCACGTGAGATATTTTAAGAGGCTGGTTATACAATAGGACTGGAAAACGTACTTTACATGCCCCATTTAACAGAGAATGAAAATACAAACTAGTAAGCAACACATGGCAGCAGAATGCAGAGCACCAGCAAACCTTGAAGAAACACAGACAGATGATTGAGAAAGAAATTTACTTACCTACATACTTGTTCCAAAACTCTAGCTGTAGAGAAACAACATTTACATTAAGGCCAGAGGCAGATTTTTCACAAGCAAGGGATTTGAAATGCACCACAGTCTTGCTCAACACAGCACAGCACTCTAGTCAGCTAGGTCTCTTCCTTCTTGGCAGCACAGTGACATGCATGGTTAACAAAAGTGGCCAACCCCCAACGTTCATATATGGCAGCCATGAGCCTACTCAGCACAGATCTCCCCTGCCCTGCTTGCAGCCCCACCACCACCACGACCCCTCAGTATCCCCCCAGATTCTCTTTCCCGGTTGCTCACTGCCAGGCAAGTCACTCATGTTCTCAGTGCAAAACTACATTTGTGCCCAGTTGGGAGGCAAAACTGGGGAAGGCTGTAAGAAGACTCTGGGGCCTGAGGGATGGCAAGGACTGGATCATCCTAAATAGCAAGCCCACTGCATTTGATGCAACAGCAAGACTATGAAAAAAAAAGACAAAACAACAAGCTCATACTCATTGACAAGGTGTGGAAAGGGGCAGCAACCAGTGATGTTTACAGTTACGTCCATCCCTCACGAGGCTGGAGGATGTGGGGAGAAGCTAATGATATGAGAAATGTTTGCCTGGCACAGATGGCAGTCTGGAGACATACAGACTAACAAAAACACAGTGGCAGCAAGAATAGGCAGTGGGGTCAAGCAGGGATTGGAATTACCTGCCTGGGATGTAAAGCACAAAATTGGGTCTGGTGGGACATGTGTGAACAGCCAAGTGCCACAGCCCAAACAAGCAGTGATAACTTGACAATCACCACAACACACTGAATGCCCTACCTTCAGAGTCAGGAGTGCTGGCAGCAACACCTCCTATGCTCCAGACTACAATACTTTGACAAACAATCTATTGGTTTAGTCTTATGTTCCTCCAACTTACTGTGGCTTCCTTGGTTTCAAATATCTCACTGGCCTCCTCAAAGTCGCACGTCTCCTCGTTGCACTCACGTTCCAGAGAACCTGGTTTCACCTCCTCCAGGAAAGAGTTGGCCCGCTTCTGGATTTTCAGGACTTGGTTTGCATCCTTGTAGCTGTAAAATACTAGAAGCAAAAACGTGAGCGTGGGGAAGCAGGGAAGAGAGCAGCCTGAAAATCAGCAGCTGGCAGGGAGCAGAAATCATGCTCACAGTGACTGGAATGGGGTGAAGGCACACTTACTCGAGGTATGGCACACTGGTGAGGAGCAGGCAGCCAGCAGCACCCCTATAGTGATGAGCTTCCACATGCTGCAGCAGAAGTCCCCTTGGAAGAACAGCCAGGTGTGAAGGGGAGCGTGCAGTGAGCTGCAGCACGGCCCCACGCTGGAGGCTGGATCTGCTCAGGCAGCTCAGGTTTTCCTCACTTCTCTATCACACAGCAGCTCCCTCACAGAATGCTGTTTCTCTCTGATGTCAGCTCCAAGGTGGTTTGTCAGAGCCCCCCAGCCTGCTTCCAGATCCCTCCAACCCACCAGCAGCTTGCCCAGAGCATTCCCTATCAGCCCCAGCACCTCCCCTTGCCATCAGACACCTCTGACAAACTTTATGCTTAATTAAATTAAGCTGTTCTTTGAAACCCTGAGTGATACCATATCTTTGAGGCACTTACTGCTTTATTCAGTGTGAATCAGCGTGATTTATTCTTCCGCCATGAGCTCTGCTGGAACTTGGGTTAATCCATAACTTCAGCTATTTACTTTTTAGAGTGACATGAAGTGCTTTCCCTTTAGTCATTAAGCAAACAGTGCTCAGGGGGAGCTCGACAGTTTACCTGCATGGAAAAGTGAAACAGTTGTCCTCTCTGCCTTTTCAAATCCATTCTGTGCTTTTTTTTCCCCATCAATTTCATCAGTTTTGGAACTCACAGCATCCAAACTGCAGCTGGGGAAGGTGTGTGTGCACTGAAGCTCTGCTGATACGTTCTTCATCCTCGACTCAGCTGCGATTAATGACAACAGATGTGTGCTGAAAATACATTTTATAAAACACGCCTTAAGACAGGAAACGTAACAGGAAACTCAAGAAGAAACAAATAGATTAATGTCAGTTCTACCTAGCACACAAATAATATTTGCACCTGAGGTAACTACACAGAAATAGTGCTTTACATGCATAACTTGCATGTTTTGAACACATTTCTGTTTGCAAGATTTGTGACTGTTTGGAACTCAGGACAAGCACACCAACTGTCCACATAAAACACTGAGAAGTGATGTGTCAGATGCTAAGAACCTTTTTGTTGTTTTATTTTTATCTGACACCGGTATTCAGAAAGGATGTAACTCCTGAGCAGCTCTGGCAGCCTGCTCACACAGGACAAGAGGCTGAATGCCTCCCATCTGCTCCTCTCCTGTGCAGACACTACAACACAGTGCCTGAAGGGTCACTGGTAAGCCAGCTCATGCTGGAGCTCTCCGGAGAGAAGTTCCAGACAATGATGGGGTATTTTAAACCCTAATTTCCATTACCTCCTCACTCTGTGCATATCAGAAACACCACAGCTTGCCCACAGCCCAGTAGTGGGGCACAGCTGTTCATCCCCAACACTCACACACAAGAGACAAATGAGGAATGTTCCTGATGGCCCTGAAGGTGCTCTACAGGTAAGGAAGGACAGGGCTGCTTTGGAACCTGCTTGCTTCCACGCTGCCCAGTCAGGGGGAGCAGAAGAAGAACAAATGTCAGCAATCCCAACCCAAAACACGTAGAGCAAGAAGAGAAAAAAGCAGGAGAAAATATTTTAAAATAGAAATCTTATTGGCACTTTTAGAGCACACAACCCGCTGCCAACCTTCCCAAGCTCTGTCTGATGGCTGTAATTAAACCAAGGGCCAGCAGCGCTGAGCAGCAGGCCTGACAGCACAGCAATGACACCTGAGCGGGGCCAAGAGCTTCCTTCTCTTTGGAGAGACCAAAAGGACCAGAATGAACAACTTGCATCAGAGGAGCGACCACCCCTTCTGTCTCTCTGCCCTTTCTTTGCATGTTTCTGTGATGCTCAGTGCAGAGCTGCACACTCCAGTCCACTGTGCACGTGTGAGCACAGATAGTCATTTTATTTCTCTCTATTCCTGAGATAGCTGCCATTTTAAAGATTAATTTTACCACTTTCATATTGGAACAGTATATAACATCACTATGACCTTTCTTATAATGCTCCTCCCACCTTCAAACAAGATTCTTTTCAAACAAAATAAATCCTTCCCTTTAACTAGCAAGCACAGAGGCCTTTTATTTCCACGGAGGAAATGCAATCATAAACTACTTTCCATCTGCTTTCAAAACTATTGTGGAACTGTGACCACCCTCTCAGATTAAAAGCAATCTGCTGACACTTTGTTGGCAGCACCTTACAAACACACCAATCCATACAGATTGAAGGCAATGCTCACCGCAGTGTGATACATGGACTGCCCGCCCAAACACCCCCAAATCCTTTAGTTTCAAGCCTACAGGCATCATTTTGTGGCAGTGCATTTCTGTACTTCATGAGAAATCGATTTCTGCCTGATCTTTGCAATTGTTTTCTCACTTGTTACCGGCTGTGTTGCAATGAACTGAAAGCACAGCAACTGGAGCAGAGCATCAGCCCATCTCTTACTGCACGACAACAGCAGTGGGGTCACACTGCACAGATCTGATGCCTACCAGCATGTGGGCATCCCCACTGCTCACTCCTGACAGCACAAAAGGGGACAGAATAACCAGCATTCAGGCACAGGGCTTTGTCTCAGAGCGCCTTCCCCTCCTGGTTTGGTTTTGCAGACAGCTGAGCAGCAGCAGAACCAGCATTCAAACCCCTCTTCTTTTGCTCACTGCACAGAAAGCCAACAACAAATATCTGCACGATGTTTTCTGCCTCGCAGCAATTAAACCAATACGAAAGTGATCAGCAATGAGCAGTGTTTACCATTTCACCCCTCTCCAGGGAACAGCTCTGCATTCCCAATGCAATTCAGGATAAAGCCATTTGTCACAGCACAGACGTTTATTAGCTGCTCCCATCAGGTGGGCACCACAGCCTTCTCACACAATGAAATCAGTAGCAGAATCTTTACTGGAAGCTCAGAAACATGTTTACTTTATATACAAGAAAAAACTTATTTACAACAAACAGTGAACTACGTACAAAAAAAAAAAAAAACCAACAAAACAATAATACAAGAGACATTTCCGTGATAATCACTGTATAAATTAACACAATAAATAGGAGGGAAGCAGGTTCCACTCTTAAGGCACAAAACCTTCTTCCCAAGACTGTACAGGGATTCATGTGCTTCCCTATGCTTCCGACAGGATCACAGAACGGCGGGGAGACCCCTGAGGAGCAGCGGTTGCTGGATGATGACACAGACATGCAGTCACTGCTGACAGGTGTAGAAAAACATCCGTTTCCATCCTTTCCTTTTTACAGTACGCGCAGCTGAAGATACAAAATATTTTGTAAACAGTCTTTTTCAATCACAGAGACAGTATGCACAAATGGAAATACTATAAAGCAAGGAATGGAGCTCTCCATACAACACGGCACGGAATCATTCCAAGGTGCTCCCAGCAGGAAAAGCTCCCACCAGATAACCTGGAAGACTAAGAGCCCTCGGCAGGGTCAGAGCAGGAGCTGGTTCATGAGCTGAGCCTCCCTCTGGTGCCCTCTGCAACCCCATTGAGCCACACCATCATAACACAGGGCTATGCCAAATCCCCAGAATTTGCCACAGAGGGTGAATTTCTGGGGCCAGAACATGAGATACTGGGCTGACAGCTATTCCAGCTTGCTGTGGGCACTGCTCAGCTCCTTCCCACTCACTGCCAGCACTGGGGGCTGATAACCAGCAGGTGGCACAAGGCTTGCACAACAGTAGCATTTCTTAGGAGACTGAACAGAGATGTGGCTTAGCTTCTCTCAAGCTGGTGTTTTTTTACCTGAGACTGCAGGAGAGTCTCTTTTTGGTGAAGCAGATTTTTTTACTGTCTGTACTTCCTGAGTTTCTCTCCTACTACAGAAATGATGGGACAGCAGAAGAGGAACTCGGATGAACATGGCCCAAATTCAGCCCAGCTCCCTGCTTTGCAGATAAGCTCTCACTGACATTTGACAGATTGTCCTCATCTGCTCACATCTCTACAGCAGAAATCAGCACTGTTCCCAGTGAGATGTAGAGAGCTACAACCCTTCTGTTAGGCAGAAACCTTAATATTTGAAGGCACTCAGGTTGAATATAGATCCCATTTTCTAGCTCTTAAAAGGCAGAACCCCCTCCTTGCCCTCAATAACAGGCAGGGATAAACTGGCTATGAATGCTCTGATAAAAGGTGCACCTGCACAAAAAGCATTTGAACCGATCCACAAGACAGACTATAAATGAAAAAGAAAGGAAGATTCATCTCTGCAGGAATCACCATCAGAACAGATGGCAGGATGCCTCTTCAGGCACAGCACTAAGGAACATGCCCACATGTAAAGCTCTTTGCTTTCCCTTGTTACTCTCAGCAGGAAGAGTGGAGAGGAGCCCTATCTGTTCATAAATATGAGGTTCCTAGGAGAAACTTCACGTCTCCATTGCTATCCAAAGGAGCAAACACAGACCTCAGCCCAGCTCCAGAGCCAAGACCTGCCTTGTGCTCCCTGCTGGGCTCTCCTTTGCAGACTTCCCTGCCACACACATTGCCAGGTGACAGATTTTTGTACTGGTAAGGAAAAAATACGGCCAGTGAAGCAACTGCTGATGTACAGATAGGAAGAACGCAGTTAGGGAAAAGCTGGACCTATTCTTTCCTTGGTCCCTATACCAGAATTTTTGCTAGCTTATTCAGGCATGTCTTCCAGCTTGTCACGAGCAAACCCTGCCAGCTCACCAGGCTGAGGGAGATGTGAGTGAATGAATGAGCTAAAAAAAGATAGGGAGAGTAGGAACTACTTTTGGCGACGTCCTAAAGGTTGCAGTGGAGTTTGCCCAGCATGAAATCAGCCTGCAACCTTTTGAAACAGACAAGTCTTGACATACAATAACTTGACTGACTGCTGTCAGATTACACAGCTGGTGTGAAGTTGACAAAATAAATGCTCAGCAATAATAATGGAAATAAATGTCCTCAGGAAATTATTTTTTTTTTTGCCACTGTGAATGTGAACATTTTACTGTCTGCAGCCAAAAGCAGACAAGTGCTGCACTGAAATAATTTAGAAAAAAAATAATTACGTACAAAATTACAAGGTAATTGAAAATTCCTGCTGTCTCTCCAGCTTTATAGCACTGAATGTTCCCAAATTTGCTCTGCAGTGATGAACATGGCAATACGATTACGCATGCTGGTCTCTGGGCTGTAAGTCACCCAAGTGGGGTCTGGCAGTACAGGGGAGTTTGAAGGCCATCTAGGAACTCTGATTTAGAGGCACTGATTTGTCCATACTCCACCGTTGGTGATACCAAAGGCTACATACCAGCATATTCCAGTTTTCATTACGATGCTTTTCTGCTCACCTTTCTCTCAAAGCTCTTGCATGAGCCCTGATGTTTGATAGCATGATTGCTCCCATGGGGATACAACCCAGGAGGACTGAGCCACCCTAATCTTTTGGTATCCAACTTGGAGTGAAGGAGCAAGGCAGCAAGAGAAAGAAGCAAGTTTCTAGCAGCTTTTCCATCAAGACAGATGGGAAAATGGCCAATCTACAGATAGACTGTATCTTTTGTGACATTCTTCTGCAAATACAAGTAGAAGTAAAGCAAGAGCTTTGCTGTCTGCAGCCATCACAGTGGCACCAAATGGACAGCACGACACTCCTGACTGCTGCCAGTCATGCTGTTCCCCAAACTGAAGTGGAGGAATTTGTTCCACATCTCACTTCGTTCCATTACACTTCTTGCACGGCCCAAACAGCTAGATGGTGTTCTTCTCCCTTTCATCTGTCTCCTGAAGACGAATGCAGTCAGAGCTGATTTCTCGTAATCTTTCAGCTCTGGAGAACTGTCTTTTCTTAGCATCAGTAACTTCCAAACACTTGTTTGTGATGCCTGAAAACCTCAACGTTGTACCATTTGACTGGCTGAGAGCAGAGAGCCAGGCCCAGCAGCAGACCACACATTGGTGCAGCTGCTCTAACCACGTGCATTGTTAGTTGCGAGGGATACATGAGTGAGGATCACTAGGTATTCATCAGCAAGGAGAGGTCTGCACTGGCTTGGAATTTCTGACACAAATCACATGCAACTACAGGTGTGTTAAAAAGGGATCAGTAAGACAAGGACAAGGCTTTGTTCCACTTAAATGTTCCAAGCTACAGATATGACACACAAATGAGCAGGCAAGTTTTCAGTTCAAAAAGACTGTCAGATGCTTCTGAACTAAGACTGGCCAATGTATCTTTTGCCCTGAATAACTGTACTGTGATGAAATTATCCAGTAAAGGTAGCTGTGTTGCAATTCTCAGGAGTCCTGCACTGTCACTGTCACTGGAACCAGAACTTCCCACACTGGAGGACACAGTTCTTCCAACAGAAATCAAGTTCTCTCCCAGGAGGCTCTGCCTGAATGCAGGTAAGGTGCCTCTTGATTTGATGCAGCTGTACCCCACAGGAAAGAAAGGTAGCACCATGCTTGGTTGATATGAGCTCTGAACAGTTGCAACTTGGCTGTTCAGTGGAGACAGTTGGGAGCACATCTGCTCTGTGAGGTGACTGCTGTGCAGTTAGGGGGAATGGTAGACACAGGCTGTGAAAACAGAGGCTAAACCTCGCTGGCAGGAGTACTCCGGCTCAGCTCCTTGATCCCGTGCAGTATCCTCTTCATGTGACCCACTTTGGTCACACCCAGGTCCTGAAAGACAAGAGAAAAGCTTACCTGTGGAGAAAAGGGGGAAAGATACCAGGGCACCAAGCAGCAGTTAGAAACTAGTCAGCCAGTTACAGAGAGGAGGAAACCAACCAGAAAGGTTACAAACCTGATGGTTGCACACAGAACCTCAAACCAGGTTTCAAAAAGCTATCAGAGCACAACAGGGTAATGAGCAGTGACAGAGCAACCAGAGAAACAACCATTAGCAGACCATTAGCCAGAAATGCAAATTGTTCTGACTGCTAAAAGCCAAAGCCTGAGAAAAGAAAGCGCACACAGATCTCAAGCACCTAAGCTGGTAGCCAAACACATGCAGGAAGAACCAAGGGATGAATGGTCACACCAAAAAATGTGTGAGCACTTGGGCACTAAACAACAAAGCACATGCTGTAGCTGGATGGCATGCAGAGGGATCAGCTACACAAATGAGGGCCAAACCTGGAACAGAAAGCCGGTCAAAAGCACAAACGAAGATCTAAAGGTCACTCAACTAATGCCATGCCATTACTCTAGGTCAAAATACATTTCTGCCACATGCAAGTCACCAGAACGATGACAAAATTATTTCATACATGCAAAGAACCACCACTTCCAATCTTCCTCTGTGGTGAAAGCGTGTCTCAATGAGAAGAAAAGCTGTGCAATATCCTTACTAAGTACTATGTCTAGGAGGTTCTCTCCATCTAGCAGTACTCTTCTTTTAAGGAAGTGCAATGACCTATTTGTCCAGTGACTATAACACAAGACCCAAGTTTTCCCAATCAAAATGTATTCTGCAAAGATGGTTCAGCAGCTGAGAAGTTGAAAACTTAACCTCTCCAGAATGCTTTTTGCAATCTGTGTGCTGGACTGTTTTCCATCTCCAGGAAGCTGTGGAGAGTTACACAGCTGGTCTCTCAGCTTGCCCTCCTACCCCTCTGCTATTCAATATCAGATGATCCGAAATGGCAAGACAATCAAACGAGGCTGCAATGAAGCCATTCATCTTGCCAAGACACACGGAGTAACCAGAGGGCAGACTGTTTCCAAGCACATTCAGCACAGAAGGTCATGCAGATGGAGCTGGCTATTTCTGGTGAGCCAATCATGAAAGTACCTTGAGGTCCCTCCGTTCGAGATGCAGGAGCTCAGAGCCCCGGACGTCATGCCGGATGAAGATATCCTTATACTCACAAAGACTGAGATGCTCAAGCCAAGCCGCAACCTCCTCCGTTCCCCAGAGGTGAACTGTTAGAGATGGAAAAGCAGGAGTGCATTGAGTACCCAGAATCCCAGAAGAAAGTGAGAAGTGAGGACACCATCAGCACTCAGTGCCAGAGGACGGCAAGCAGTACACCACAGCCTCAGAACAAAGGGAGGGAAAGAATCCGCAGCACAACCTACAGCCTCAAACACAGGAGGTAGGGTAGAGTAAGATCAGAGTTCTTCTCTTAAGTAGAGGCAGTAGAGGTGCAGTAAAGCCAGGACAAGGTGGGTGTTTGTTTTGAAATAGCACTGAATATCCTTTTTTTCTTCTTCTTGTTTTTTAATTTACCCCCATGCTTAAGAGTAAATTCACTGATAACCCTGTGTTTGCAAAATGGTCATAAAATAATATCAAGAATCAAGCATGAGCTAGCTTGCTATTATGTATTGCTTCTTTGTACGAACGCTTGTGTTCAGTAAACAAAACAGCAACCCCACTACCTAAAGTGTGAGGAAAAGGTTGGTCTTCCACCTTCTTACACAGCCTCTAAGTAAGAGAAGAAAAACATTCCCAGTTTCTGAGAGGCAATGAATGAGCACCAGCATGCTAGACAGGAGAATGTACCCATAATTCCATGACAGAGGAAAGGACCCAGGAACCCACAGAACAGATAGTACTTCTGAATTTTAGGAGGAGGTCTTCATAAGTAGCATATAAACCAAAAATCAAGTAGCCCAATTGGAGAGAAAGTGTTCTGATTGACATTTTGTTGATTCATGGCCAGCATTCATCTACTGACCAGTAGGATTAAAGGTCAGGGTGCACCTGGCGATGCTGATTCCCAGCCATTTAGACATGAAACCTGATTAAAGTCTTGAAAGTGAGTCACATCATTAACCATATCACAGAGAATCAGTAGTGAAAAGACTGGAGTTACGCGGACTTGGGCCCCACAGTCGTTTTGGTACCTAAAATGCCAGAATCCTCAAATTCTCTTCACTGAGCTCCTTAAAAATATCCCAGAAAATGGCCAGATGTAGGCAGAACTCTTCAGAGGGTACCTCCTGTTTCAGCTCAGAAATATCTGCTTAGTACTGAGGGATCATGACTCAGAACACAGCAATAAACTACTTTGCCATGTCAGAAAGATTCCATTCCAAGAAAAGGCAGAGGCAAGTGAAACAGAAGAGAGAGAAAACATGAGAAGAAACAGAGAGAGAACGTGAAGTATTGTGACCACACTGGTATGACAAAGGGAGAGACAACACGAGCAGACTTGGTACCCGGCAATCCCATGCTACTGTGTGTTTCCTTATTTTTGTTATTCTTCTCTTTTTTAAACTTGGTCACTAGCCGGAATTTGCCGCTGCGGCTGCGTTTAGAATAATCCAGCATCTGATTCTATAGGAACAGAGAGAGAATGAGGAAAACATATGTAAGTTCACTGGAACAGACCAAAAACAAGAACTGTCAAACTTAGGTCAATGACCTCACAAAAGAGGAAAAAAGTTCTCAACTCATTCTCACCAAGGCAGGGAAGGAAATGGAGAAAGCTGATCCCAAGTCAGTCTAGGGACATTAGCAGGAAATTACTCTCCTTAGTCTTAGGGAGTCAACTTTCCTTCTCAATTTTTTCTCACATCAGTCATATATTCACAGGAAGTCAAACACAACCAAGTAGTGAAAAACAGCTAAGAAAATACAGCTGTGGTCCTCCTCACCTCCTCATCACAGGGCTCCATAAGCTGCCACAGCCAAGGGATGTATGCCAGTTTCCTCAACTGGAGGTCCATGTCTGCCAGGGCTGCTTGGAGCTGCTCTTTTTGGGGAGGATCTAATTGCTGGATCAGAAATAGAAGCAAAGTAGAGTTAAAAGCCATACAGTGGAACATACAGTCATGTCCTTGCCTTGAAATTCCTAGCTGACAGGGCAGTTCCTCATTTCAGAAGGACATGCACAGCAGCCACCCCACTCAGACACTGCCCAGTTAATGATTTGCATCTTTTCTGAGCTCCAAATTGAGCAAACTAGCCTGACCACTCATTATATCTATCCAGCAACACCATTCCAATTCCTGTATGACAACATTCTAATTGACTTGCTACAAAGATGACCACGACCAATACTGTGTTGCTGCCAAGGCCATAGCAGGAGAGGAGAGGAAGTGAGAGGCCGCTTCACTCCTGTTCTGTGCTTCTTACCAGTGCCATCTTGCCTGCCAGCAGTAGTTCCGTCTCATTATGCAGGGCTTTGACATTATTCACCATCTCTACAACAAGGCTGCAGTTCAGACCCTGTAGGAAACAATTCACATGCAATTAAGCCTGGAAATGTAGAGGTCTGAGCAGTCAAAAGGAAGAAGCCTTAGAGAAGCAAGGCCTACTTTTGGTCAATCAGAAAGGGATACCAAGTGCTACAGAACAAGAACCAAAAGAAAGATGCCAAGGGAGTGAAGTACCTCTGTAGACTTGGATTTAGCGTAGACTTTGTCCATTGACTTGGAGCTGGCATTGACAGCATGGGCAAGCTCCTGTTCCATGTCCTGGTAGGATTGGGCTATTTCCCGAATGCTGAAGAGAGAATTATAGATTGCATCAGCATATGCTCAAAGCAAGAGATCTTTTCCCACCCAGTATCTCCTTTAATAAACATCAGACTGACAGGTACAGAGAGGCACAGTCTTCTCTGACAAAGCAGGGCTGTTCTCCCCTCTGTGGTGAGCATGTAAAGGCAAAGCAAGGCAGATTTCACATGCACAACTCCAGACAACACATTCAATTCTGTTCATGAGTTGAAATCAGTCTGAAATGCAACCAAGATATTTTAATGTGACTGCAGTGATTTAAAAGGCAGCTGCGCACGCAGCAGTTTAATTGACATTTCCTTGGTATGACTCTGGGCATTTTCCCTCAAAAGCCCAGACCAAGAGGCAGAATATCTGAGTAATGGATGAGTATAAAGTGACATCTTCCTGAGGCTGGGCATCAGGGCTACACGAAACCAACTTGCCACAGGAGCTCCCAGAGAGGACTTTGTTTCACTTCTGATAACAGCCACCGACAATCAAAGCCATTGGGCTGTTTCAAAATTCAGTGATCCCTTTTTGCTCATAAAAGTAACATACTTTATTCAGAGTAACTTGAGAAAATCTATTCAACTTCAGTCCTCGTGCAGCTGGGATAGTGCATAATGAAAACACAACTCCAGGCAACAGGGATTAGCATGGTAGAAGATAAAAGTGAACAGAAATGTAGGACAAGAACGTCAGGCACCAGAGAACAGCTTTATTCACCAAAAGCAAATTGAGCCTCACCTGTGGATCAGAGCACCTGCAGTTTGACCAAACTGGTTGATCTGGGTGGATTCTTCTTCAGACATGATTTCTGGTTGCAGAGAGAAAGAGGACGGTCGGGACAACTCACACTTCTGTTTGTCCTCCCAGGACTTCAGGGTGCTCTCAAATGCCTAAAAAAAAGGCCACAGCAAGCAAACTATAAGATACTGTAAGATAAATCTCTTATGAAACACAAGAGTTTTAAGTGGCCAATGTCTGTAAAACATGCATGTTTGGTACAGTCAACTTCTGCTGTTCAGCTGTTGGTAACTTTGCTAACTTTAGCAGTTTGAGCTGAAATTTTCCATGTCACTCCCTCGCCTTGGCTTAGTTTCTATTTAAGTCTTACTTTAGTAAATTGTTAATTCACTTCTGCGTGCCAGACCCCAATTCCCCAGTGTCTTTGCTTTGAGTATCTATACTGCCTCTACACTTTGCAGCAGGAATCTGACTTTTGACATGTGTCCCCAAGACAGTGTCTTCTGTTATTCAGCAAAAATCCATGAAGTTGGACAAATTACAAGTTCTGGGGGAAGGAGGGAGCAGCAGAATTATCGCACATCTCTCTTCGAGTTACATCTCAGAGCTGAAAATTGAAAATGTTCAAGACTTTTCCTTATCTGGAAGTAAACTGAACTTCTGCAGTAAGGGCAGGACTAGCAGCTGAACACAGAGCTAGGGCCTGTCCTACTTGCAGCCTTACCAACATTTCTGCTGCCATCAGCTAGTGCTGAGGGAGCAGAAGCAAAACAGATCCAATGCAGGATCTAAACTGGATACAGTGAGAACAAGAACTGACGCATAGAATCTCCTGGCAAGGAGAGATGGATCAGGGAGCACATGAAATCAGAACAGGGAAGGTCAGACAAAGGAAGGGACCATGAAGGGGATGACTAAAATAGGAAGAATTCAGAGAAGAGGGGGTAACAAGCATGGCATGCACACCATTCACAGGGAAAAAAAACCCAGAAATTTGTGGAGCCAGAAAAGAAAAGGAAAATGAGTGTAATGGGTAGAGGGGAAGGGAAAAGAAAATGGTAGTCATGGATCCTGGTCTGGAAATTCAAGTGAGATGAGCACAAACTAGGTCAGGGGCACAGGGCTAAGGCGGGAGGAGATGGATGGAGCAGAAGATCCAGTGTCTAACAGAACACAATTGCCCTGGGGACACATCATTTTCCTGCATTTGCAAATACCTATCAAGTCCTGAGGTAAAGCACTGCCTTCCCCTGCTGCTTCTCACACAAGATAAAAACAAGCTTTGTCAGCTCTGTAGAAGCTATCTGCTGATCTCAGTCTTGATGATGTCTCTTCAGTGGTTTAAATAAGGCCATGAGGTAATGTGAGTTTTTCCAACTTCAGTGCAGAAGAAACTAAACATCCCCAACATACCATATTTGAAAAATGCTACCGGAGGTATGATGTTGCACACTCAAAAACAGGACCCCACCTCATCTACTTCACAGGACAGACTGATTCTGTGTCATGAAGGGAAGAGTGTGCAGTGACAATCACAACTACAGCAGGAGAAATAAGGATAAGCCTGTGGTCAATATAAGAGTTGAATGTTGCTCTGCAATACTGAAACTTGTTGATCACTGGCAACTCCATACCTGCAGAACCTGATTTGCAGGCAGGGAGAAGTGGGGTGGCACAACAATAACTTCAGCTAGGCCAATACACACAGCACACTCTAGGGACACGTGTGTCCCATCTGCCTTTTGTGCTTCCTTCTCCTTTCCCACTAGGACCCACATATAGGCTGCCTTTCCTTTTCCCTCTCCCATCTTTTCAGCAGGAATCCTGTTCCACTTGATTCTATTCTATCTTACTCTTCCTCTCAAAAATGAGACATTGTAGAAGCTCTCCATCCCCCCAGGGAACTCTGTGCACATATTTCTGTCTCTTCCACCCTAACATCTGCCAATATCCACTGCTCCCTCCCAGCTAAAGGGGGAGTTGGGTATTTCCCTGTCCTACCACGACAGGGACCTTGCAGGCCTACCTTCCTTTCTTTTCACACTATCATACTTGCAACTTCTTCACAGGGAATGTCCCTGGTCTGTATCAGGCTGCTTTCCCTTTTTTTCTGTTCTTAGTTGTTCTCTCTTTCCCTGTTTTTCAACAGGTGTGTCCTTTGCAGAGGACTTCAGTTTGCTCTCAAAGCATGCTATGCTGGTAGATATTAAGAACTTCTGCCAACAAAACTGCTTATCAATGGACGATTACAGAGCTATCTCACTATAGCAATTCCTTTATCTTCTCCCTTAGCTTCCCACCATTTAGTAATACTTTAAAATAACAAGAAGACTTTCCTTACATGCTAGTACTCATTAGATATATTTAAAACTTAAGAAATTAGATGGACACATGCTGCTGAACCAGGCATGAGACACACTTTTCTTGGCAAAGGAGGTTTAAGTCACATACTGAACAATAATGAGATATCAAAATATTGAACAGTTGAATCTAGCCAGTGTACTGGCTAGTGTAGCACTCAGCTGGTCAGGAATCCTGCGGGACAAACAGCATGTTAAGAAATCTTGTGTCACAGGGCACCTAGAAAAATGATGCAAAATAAACTTGCCAAAGCTTTACCTATACAATTCCCCAAGTAGTGAATGCAAGCTCAATCATATTCTTTCCAGAAAGTTTTAACTACTTGCATCCACCAAGATAAGCTTTCATGTGTGGCCACTGACACAATGCAGGAACATGTGACATCAGAACAGGTGAGTGCGCTGTACAATGCATCCAAGGCAGCTCTTACCCTGTCTCGGGTCAGGGTTTGTGCCCTGTTCTTATGAACAATCCAGATGTAACCTGGAGGCTGGATCCAGGCTTCTCCATCCACTTGGACAGGAACTCCCTCTTCTCCCAAGATGGCTATCTTCACAGTTCGACACTGCAAGAAATGATTGCAATACAGAAACACTGCTTTTCCACAAGCATGAGACACTCATTCCAAAACACCTCCTTAGGTACAGTAGCTTTGCTTCTGCTAGATCACACAGACATTATTTGCTCTATCTTTGGACCATCTGTATTTAGAAATGCCCATCTAACTCCTCTCACAACGAACACCAGAATAAAACTCCATATCCACACTGCCCCTGGATATGCACCTTCTCAACCCCAGCGGGTCTTCTTTCATGGGCAAGAGAGAACAGGAAGGAAGGCTCTACAGAATGAAACTGGCAAAAACATCACTTGGCTGAAGGTGGAGATGGCAAGAAGAGCTTATAAAAGCAGCTGATACCTGTGCAATCCGATGATGCTGTAGGTTTATCACTCGTGACACTGCCATCTGCATGCTACCAAACACGGCTACCACCTCCAAAATCTTGTCATCGAAGGAGGGGGCTGTAAATGTCTGGTCAAACACAAGGGAGGGAGAATTCAATTGACACACAGCTTTGTTAGAGAGATTTTCCTTTTTTTCCCTGTTGGTACAGAGTTAGGGCTTAGTTTTTCAGCTGTACTATTTAATCTGCACAGAATCAACAATGAGGACAGAAGGTGAAGATTTGCAGCAATACCAAAAAGATAAAAAGAGCCTCAATATGTCCATTGTGCTTCCAATGGCAGTGAAAGCATAATTCTAACACAAAGACTGTATCCATAAGGGAATAATTATTCTTATGAGAATAGGCACTTCTTTCATTTCAAATAATACAATGTTTCTGACTGGATCCAGCTCCCTTTGCCTTCAAGGGGCTTCACTTCTCATGCAGACTGAAGGCAGGAGGTCAATTTCATTAAATCTCAACCCAAGTCATTCTGCAAGCGACCTTAAAGCCCATTCATTTCCAAACTCTGCCATGGGAAGGGTTTCCCCTCACTAGATCAGGCTGCCCAGGGCAGCACCCAGCCTGGTTACGAACACCTCCAGGGATGGGGCACCCACAGCTTCTCTGGGCAACCTGTTTCATTGTTTCACCACCTTCTTAGTAAAATTTTGCACACTTCTTGGAAGTGAAGTGCTCAGGACAGCATCTGGTCTCTTTCTGAATCACTACAAATTTGCTTGGGTGCAAAGCTGCTGAATGTTGACTTTTCAGTATTGTAGCCAACTCACAAAAGAAATACAGGCAGACATGCTCCTTGTCCTCTTCTTCAAAGCTCTGTTCTCAGCTCTGTCCTGGAGCCATGACTCCAGAAGCAACATCAATTTCAAACATTTCCTGAGATATCTTAAGAGAATACTCACATCATCTTCCTTGGTTCCACCCCAGAAATTGGTGCCTCCTGCATAGCTGGGAATGTTGAGTACAGCAATTCCCTGGAGGCTGGGCAAAGGGATTGGCCTCCCATCGCACTGCACAGAAAAGAAGGCATCATTACTCTCAGCACAGCAGCAAGGAACCTCTTCTGCCACAGCATATATTCTAAGAACAGCCTGTATGGAACAGCTAAGCAATAAATTCAGGCTTCTTCAGCTTATTCTTCCATCTAACAGAGTAAAAGAACACATTCATTCATGTTTCACAAACCACCTCTCCTTTGGCAGAGGTAGGCTGTAGAGAGAGACTGTTGCTTCTTTACCCCAGGCAGGCAAAAGGAACACCTGAGAGGGTTGGCAGAGCCTCTTAGTCTATTCCAGAAAGGGGAATAAAACTTCTGAACGACCAATCAGTCTGCTGAGATGAGATTCTCCCTGTTACAGTCATTTATGCTGCGGGTGGGCAATACAGGAATAATTATTTTTCTTGTTTGATCTGCCTTATAAGCATAGTTAAATTAAAAGCTCTCCTTCACACCATCTAAAATGCTGTCTTCACATGAGACATCGCATCTAACAATCCCACCCATGCTTAACATGGAGCTGGGGATGGCTACTGCTTTCCAACATGATGACGCTTCTTAGAATGGGCTGAGAATACAAGTTATTTTCCAGATCTAGGAAAAAAACACTTCCAGCTGCCACAAAGATACAGCAAGTACATGGCATCGAGTAGGCAAGGGAAACATCCTAGTCAGCAAGAAGAAACACCATGCCAAAAATCCAAAAAATAAAGGATCTGAAGGAGATGCAATTAGATATTCCAGTTTTAGCACCAGAAGGACATGCTAATTCCCCACCTCCAGCAACACTTTCTGCTCCAGGTTTTTATACGTTCTGTGTAGCAGCTCCTTGGTCCCCAGTACTCCATACCACATCATGTTTTTAGTACGACTTCTAAGGGAGCAAAACAAAAGAGAAAGGGTCAGGAGTGCCATTCACTTTTTCACTCAGAGGCAAAAGCATCCACACAGTTTGAAATGGCACCTCCTACACCCTAAAATACTAATGAGCTTTGCTTCTAAAAGGGTCAAACACTCAAAATTACCATCACTTACATTAAGAAAATATTCACCTTGAAAAAAAGTGTCATAGAATCACAGAATCACAGAATTGTAGGGGTTGGAAGGGACCTCCAGAGATCACCGAGTCCAACCCCCCTGCCAAAGCAGGTTCCCTACAGCAGGTCACACAAGTAGGCATCCAGGCAGGTCTTGAACATCTCCAGAGAAGGAGACAACACCACCTCCCTGGGCAGCCTGCTCCAGTGATGTAGAAACTTGGGATAACTGAGTAACATATATTACCAGACACAAAAAGAGATTCCCACGGCACAGAAGGGGTCAGTCTCTTACACCAGGACATCAACAGTATTTTGCAACATTAGCTCATGTCAAGAAAATGTACCAACCCCATGCTATACAAATCATCTTCTTGCCCAGGTATTGCCCAGGTATTTAAAGGGCCAAAGCCTGCAACTGATACAGTGGTTGTTTGTATTAATTTAGTATGAAGGCCAAATTCAGCCTCAGTAGCACTTAAAGCTGAGATGCGCTCTTATCTGAGCTAAACAGTAAGTCCAGGAGAAAAACCTGTGTGTGAGCTTACAAAGTAAATAGAACCAAAGCACTGTAGCCACACTGATGTAGCTACTCAAAGATCCACAACAGCATAACGAATCAGTAATAGATCAAGCCTTCTTCCTAACCTTCAAAACAGAAGATCACACAGATGAGACTCAGCATATTTCCAGACAACTAGCTTCAAAAGCACAAATGAGAACATAAACTGATTTCAGCCACTTCTGGCACTAGAAGTCAGTCAATATCAAACCCACCTGCATTTCTCTGGGTGCTCGTCACGTTTGTTGTTGAAGTCCAAAGAAATCTTTGCATCCAGTCCAATCCCAAAGTAGTTATTCATCACACACTTCTCTGTGTAACATTCACTGTCAAATAAGAAAAACAAAAAACAATCCCAAAACTCTCACTCCTAAGTCTATATGCCATGTGGGATACATCTCACATGTCCCACTTGTCCATCTAGTAATTCCCTTGTATAAAAAGGGGGGGAACAAGAAGGTTGTATGCCAACATGCCAGATGAGCACTGCTGGGAAGTGCCTAAAACTTAAAAGCACAAAATGGGCAACTGAGCAGAGGTCCCCAGTCTGCAGCCTCTGACTTGAGTACTTCACAGCCACAAGATTTGTGAGGGAATTCTCCCCTCGCCACCAAAAACATACTCCAAAGTCTACATCTGAGCTTTATAATAAAAAGCTACATGCCTGGTCACTGGAATTGAGAAAAAGGCACACAAAACATTTGCAATGCTAATTGCTAAAGTATGTATACATTAGGTGTTAACTACAGCCTGACAAATAAAGTCAGAAGTAACCTAATTGCAGGGACACTGAATCCCATGAGGAAAAAAAATCAACCACATTAAATATGCATTAACTGAATTTTTCTGTTAAATAATTCAGCAGAAACGATTTGAGAAAGAGTTCACATCACATTTTCTACCTGTTTGCCCTACTGTGCCCTGTCCACAAGCTTTTTTGACCTCCATGGTGCTGACTGCCACACAACTTCCTGCCTGCTCACTGAAAGTAATCTGAGTGCTGGGAAAAAACTGATTTGGATTTCACTCTCTCACCTAAAACCTAAAGTCTTCCACTGTGAGTCTCATATGTCACTGCATGTACAGTAACTACATAAGAAGACCTTCACTGGCACCAGCATATGATTTCATCTACGTAACTCTGAGTTGCTGCAGTCCGTTCTTTAGCTCTCCGAATACCTCTACTTGCCAGCACGATGCTGATGTTCATTTGGAAATGCCCAGTGACTTCAATAAGGCATACTCACAGATTTTCAGGCTCAGAGTTGAAGGGATCAGCATGGATCAACAAGCGGCTGATGACAGAACTCCCAGGCAAAGACCCGGACATGCCAGCACGGATATCTGCAGGAAAATTGGCAGTGGGAAAACCATGATAGTAAATAAACTGAAAATATGTCATTTCAGTCTCAGACTAACGTTACCTCCAGTCACTCACTGAGGAAAGCAATGAGCAATAGTGCTTTCTTCCACTCCAGAAGGCTCAGCACAAGAAGATCCTATGGGATTGCCTGTTGGGTGACACGATGTCACCTGAGGCCAACAGCACAATCGTACAGACACATGAGAGTGAGCAATGGCAGTGTATTCACTACAATAGGTATTCTGCTCAAGGTGGGACATGCAACACCCTGCTTCACGGAGCAGGAGAGGTGGAAGACTGAAATTACTCTCCTTGTCACCCAAGAATTACTGTCTCCAGCTTCTAAAACTATTTGTTGGCAACACACCAACATTAACTTTTTCAAAGAGAGAGAAAATAGCTTCCTTCCAGAAGAACCAGTATGAACCAGTAACTGGGGGAAGAGGCAGGAGGACAGCACTAGAGTGATGGACAGAAGCTGCTACACAAGATGCCTGAGGCTGGAATTTTGCTGGGTTTGTGCACACAAATCACAGATCACTGGTTCCAGTCCACGGCTGCCACTTTCCAGAAACCTCTCGCAGCTGCCTGGCACCTTGACAGCCTTCTCAAGCTCCCTCTGAGCTCAGATCCTCCTTGTAACTGATACATACATTCTGCCACTGCACAGTGTTAATAAAAATCTGTGTTTAGGTCTCAGCTGTATTGAAAATTAGTACAATCATTCCACGCCTCCACTGCTCTGTTCTAGTGGAAAGTTATCTACAAAGAGACTTATTTCCAAGTGGACCCAGCAAAAGGACATCAGGCAGACAAATTTCATGTTTTATACAGAGGCTTAAGCCTGCTCTGTTGTCACCCACATTCCAGTGGGCTGCTTGAAGGAACAGTGGTATTACACTCACTTGGGTAGAGGATTTTTGTGTTCAGCATTGGCAAGTTGTCCCGGTTTCCTGTCTGGGGAGGAAGAGATGCAGAACTGCCCAGTGATAAACTTCCTTTGCTTATTTGTCTTTCACAAGGAGACTTGGATGCTGTAAAACATAACATAAACATGGCTGTTGACAAACATGATGTGATTCAGACCAGCACATAACAGCACAACTTGAGCAGTGAGATTGGGTTAAGAATCAGTCAATGACGAAAACACTCTGGCCACTGTAAAAGAACTCACAGAAACTGTCATGAAGAGACAGAGATGAGGCATACATGCAGCCAGAAAACCTCACAGACTAGAGGTGCAGAAATGTGACAGGCAATTATTAGAAATAGAGATGAGAAAAATCTGTTGGTGTCAGCAGCATAACAGACAGCATATCTGGCTCCCAGTTCATACTGAGTTAAGTTCCAAATAAACTTGGAGCGATTGAGGATCTCTAAAATTATTCACGTAACAGGCTTATTTAAACTAACTGGATTCTGTTCCCTATCATCTGTAAAGGACTGGCAGGAGCTTACAGGGATGAATCATCAGGTAGATGACACGAAAAATTCTCAAGCCCATTTTTGTCTAAGCACTGGAAGCCAAGAGAATGCAGATTGCTGCTAAGTGGTAAGAAAATTTTGGAATTCTAGGTGTCATATGCTAAGAAATTAGACCACCAGCAACACATCAAAAAATGGTGCATATGAACACAGGGCTGAACACAGAAATACGCAAAGCCAAGCATCTGAAGTTAAAAAGTAGAGAACAGAATATGGAAGGTAATACACGTAACACATCCCTCACTTCTTACAACTAACAGAACTGCACTTTGCAGGTGAGAGCTGCACGGTAGCAGCCTTGAAGCAGTACCTTTCCTCTGGCTCCTCCCTTTGGACAATCCATAGCTGCTGCTGTGTGACGACTGCAGGGAGATTTTGTCCTCATTCCTTAGCTCCTTGCCCTCTTCAGAGGCTGAGAGACTAAGGAGGAAGCCCTCTTGCTCCTGAGTCTGGGCATTCTGTTCATCCACAGCTATGAAGAAAAAGAAAGTAGGTGCTTACAACGTTTCTAGGAAGAGAGCACATCTCCACTGATAGAAACAAGATCTTTAGAGTCCCATCCTACTGTGGGGATTACTTATATGAAAATACAGGAATAACAAAAAGTGTTCCTGTATCATCTGCCTCACCTAAACTCTGCTCTGGAGAGCTTTTGGAACTGGCATGGCTTAGTCTTTTGCTTTCTCCTCAGAGAGCTTCAGCAATGAGGTTCTAAACAGAAGCATCCAACTTTAAGCCTTTTTAAAATTCAGGCTTCCCAAGATGCAAACTGTGCTGCAAGTGATGAGCTTCCACTTATTCACATTCAGATGCTGCCAGAAATTCTAACCAGTGGGACATTAAATGATCGATCAAACTGAATTTTCTGTTTGCTTAATCTCTAGCAGGCAATAAGAGAAGTCACTTGAAAAGGTCTCTTAGACACATACAATCAGGAGGAACTTGGTAAAAAACAATACAAACAAAAGAAAAGAATCAAATCACATTCCTTGGAAGAAGGGAAACAGTTTGGACAAGTTGAATAAATACATCTGAAATGTAACTGGAGTTTGCCCAAGAACTGGCAAGAATTAAAGCTAGCACATTGCTTAAATAATCAAATATGAACAACAGTGCTTCCTCCCAAGTGACCTCTCACAGGGTACAGCTGAACTACCAGCTCACCACTTCTTTCAGAGCCTCTCTCTCACCTTGTGCTGAATTTGCAGATCATGAGAACTATCCATCAGGAAATCCAACCTGCTAGCCGAGCAAATAAATAAGCAAACAAACAAACAAGTATTGCTGGATTAAGCAAATTGATTGGGTTTCAACAAGCTACAAAAAGCATCAAACCAGCACAAGGTAAGCAGTGGCAAAGTGAGGCAGCACCGAGGTCTCTACTTCAGAGAAGCAGGCTATTTGCTCAACTTCCATCATTTCATGTATCTTCACCTTCAGCAAGGCTGCACACAACGATGCAGTGCTGGAAATCCAAGTAACACTGCAAAGATTTGTAACTCACCACACAGTTGCTCTCTACAGTGCATATTCAGGTATACATGGACAAACATCTGCAACTTCAATGCTTTTATCTTCAATAAGAAGCTGTTAAACACTTCCTTTGGTCTAAGTGAAACCACCAGGTTTATGACTAACATCTGTGAGACCGAAGCTTTTTGAAGGAAATGAAACTTAGAGCCAGGGGTGTGAGTGGGGGTCATAATAAGGGCCAAGGCGAGAAGAAGAGGATCACCTGCCCGGGAAGTTAACACAGGAACAAGATGGTCTGTATTACAGACTGGGAAAATTATAACGTTTTCCCAGTAAGCAAGCTCATTTAAGAAGTTTCTGCATTCTCTCTTGCCTTGTGCTACAGTTCATTGCCCTTTCAGTTGTACCACTGCACTGTTTTGTTGGGCTGTACTATAAAGAGATTTCTGAAACAATCCAAGTAAAAATACTTAAAATATTTTTCTTCCCAAGTATTTTCAGATCTGTTTTACAGCAAGACCACACAAACAGTTGCACTGACACAGTTGTGGTATGGGTGGGGACAGACAGGAAACCCAAATGAGCAGAGTGTGGGAGGGGAGTGACTTCCTAAACCAGCCCTTTGGGGAGAACATACCTTGAACTTCAGACTCATTTAGCAAGCAATGTTTCAAACAGGTGGGCTTAGCAGAGATGGAATGAGACAGCCAGGGCTAACAAACAGCTTCTGCAGCTAAGGAAAGCTGTTGCTAATAAAGAACTCTACTCTCCTTTGGAATAATGGAAACACTCTCAAGAGCCCATAATAAGCCACGAGCAGGACTCCTAACAAGTTACCTTTTTCTGCATGCTCTATAATCTGACGAATGGCTTTTTTCAAGCTGTTGGCTCTCAACATGAGCTGTTCCCGGGGGCGAAATATCTGGGGCCGTGCAGTGCATGATGAGCCCACTGACTGGTCACTGGAAGAATCACAAGCACTGCCTGACCCATCACCATCTTCGGTTTCCTCTGCAATGGTGGGAGGAGGGTTTGGCAGAGATGAAGATGCCTGAGATTCATCATTCAGTGTCTTCAATAATGAGTCCAGCTTCTCCTTCAGGACAGAGCACTACAGGGTGAAGAAGAAGTTTTAAGCAGGACTAATAGTGGGTCTAGATAGCTCAAGCTTTTAGAGCTTGCTGAACTGCTGCTATCCTATTTCTCTGAAAACAACAGTTTTCAATGTCAGAATAGGAAGCCGTAACCATTTTTTCAATTTTACCTTCCTGGCCATGACTTCTGATTCCTCTGAGCTTTCTGTTGCCTTCTCATAGGCTTTCCCTACTCGAGCCACAAAATCCTTCACTGTCTCGCAAAGCACCCTAGACAAAGATGGTAAGGAAAACAGTCATGCAAGGATTGCTTCAGGATCTTCACAGTGCAATTTTCATTTAGAATAATTCTCCTTAGAGTACTCACTTGGCTGAGGAGATGACCACTGAATGTTGGTCAGAAGTCAAAATTTTGGACAAATGAGCAGCAACAGAGTCTTCATAGAAGAGAATCTTCTGCACCTGGTGACAGTCAGAAACAAGCCACTGGGGTGCTGCCTCCCAAAATCAGAGCACACCATGTTTATGTCCAGCTCCCCAGAGAGTACCTATCACTAGATAGCTTCTTTTCGCCTTGGAAATGTTCTGTGGTCCAGAACTTATTTACTCTCTGAAGACTGTGTTTTGATGAAAAAAAACAATTCTGAACCTAGAAATCATCAGCATTCTCAGCATCTCCAAAGCCCACTGTTTAAATCCACAGTAGATTATCGTTCCTGTGACTACTATGCAGCTTTCCACAGCTTCAACAACATAATATCATGAGAGCAGAGCAGCCAATTATTTCCTCTCTCCTGTCCCAAAGCACTCCCCAACTATGGCCATTGACTCTGGTTATCTTCAACCTCCTCTTTAATATTTCACTGATTTAAAGCCCCAGGATCTCTGTAGGTCCTATGACATCCATCTGAACTCAACCACTGCCTCTCATCTTGTCCATTCTGAGGCATTACTCCCAGACCTCTGCCCTTGCAAAGTACCTCCGAATCCTCACTGAAATCTTCAGTGACTGTGGAACTGGAGGCCTGCCGAGGGAGTTTGGTTTCATACACCATAATGCTCCACCTGTTGAAAAGGAGGCATAATAGATGTCACCACATGGCAGATGATTTCTTCCTTTATCCAGAGCATCTAACTGGTTAGAAACTCAAGCAGGATAAAGAGCACTTTGTTAGGGGCACGAATGATGTAAGGAAGTCACAGGGATGCACTGAAACTGCACAGGGTCTGAACCAAGGGCAGAGAGAGGGATAGAATAATGAACAACTATCCCACTGCACATGCACCTTCTCTTTACTTCTTCCCTTCCTCACAGCAATTCAATGGGCATTACTTGATTCAACATGCTAGAGGCCAAAATACAGTTCTAAAGACAAGGAGTTTAAAATGTAAGAAGATATAAAAGCTATATCAAGAGGTAAACATGTCCATTTCTGTGTTCAGCTTTCATTTAAAAGCCAAACTCAAGATAAATAGCTTCAAATTTCCCTAGAAAAAACAGTTTGAAACATCACATGTGAGGTCGTCAAATTAAACTGACAAGAACTCTGGAACAAGGTGAACTCTAAAATAAAGTCCCATTCAAAAGTATGAAAACTGCACTGAAAAGAAAGCACAGACACTGTAATTGACCTTGCATTCCTAAAGGAGAGCGGGCCAATTTCTGGACACCTATTTCCCTTACTACAATTCCGCAGCAGTGACACAGAAAGCAAGACTACCTTTTGTTGATAAAAGCTGACCGAAGATTATCACAGAAAATTCAAACTGAAATTACTAAGAAGCCCAACAGAGGCAGCTCAGCATTGATTATTCACCTGTCCAACATTTTGGTACTCGCCCTCTCCAGCTTTTCCAGGATCTGTGGAAGCTGGGTATCATCATCACAAGCAGATCCCCAGCCCAATACGCGAGCAAGATCATTCCCTGTTCCCAGTGGCAGCACTCCCAGCTGGCACTGCATCAGAGAAAAGGAAACAAAAATTGATATTCAAATGGAAAAACACAAACCACAAACAGCCAGAAGTAACATGACTGATTCCTTACAAAGATTGCTTATTGAGAAATAGCTAGTCCCAGGGGGAAGGGAAGCAACCGGATGAAGAAAACAGTCAAAAGAGCTTGCAAATAAGGAAAAGCTCTCTCTGCTTTTAAGTTATCAGTTGAGTGAGGAGTGTATTACCACTACCATTCAGAGCACCTTGCTACAAGAGGTACTGCATCCTACAGATGGACAAATTTAACCATCAGGTGGCGACATTGCCTTTTCTGTAAAATTAGCATAGCCATCTCCAAGACAAAATGGAAATGAACTAAATGCTGTATGACACCTCTACTCCAATGAAATTTCTAGGTATCCCAGGGCTTGGAAAGAGCACGAGAATTAAAGGGAATCGATGAGAATTGCTACTGTAGCTGAAATCCCTGTTTTCTAATGGCAGCTCTTTCCAAGTGTAAGTTCCTGCTGACAATGCAGCAGAACTAACTCAGAGCCCCTCTAAAACAGGATCTTGTGCAAGGAAATTGTAGAGAAGCACTGTAGATAGGAATAACCAATTAGTCCAGTGCTGCTTCTTGCAGAAAATGACTGCAAATACACAGTTATAGTAAGCTTTCAGCAGCTTCAGTCCCAGGTACTACTCTCAGGTACAAACTACAGCTGTACGATCAGTAGAAGTTCTCTGCTGTTGTTAATTCCTTCTTACACCCAACCAAGGTCATGCAGCAGGTACCTGCTTGTGAAGATTGAGGCTATCAATTTCGGAGAGAACCCAGCCAACACTTCCATCCCCACCGCAAACCAGGATCCGGAAAGTGTCAAACTTCTGGAATAAGCGTAAACTGCAGGGAAGGGAAAGAAAAAAAGCCCGAGAAAGATGAACAATCAGCTGCTACAGAAAGGAATGCTAAATAATTCTGATCTAGGTTATAATCACGTCAGAATTACTTCAAGCAGGCTCTGATTTCGCAATGAATACAGGCCACTGTCAGATTACAAATGAATTCAAATGATTATAAATAAGGAATTACTAATATAGCTAAGCAATTTACAATGGCTATTCCCTACAGAAATATGGCCCAGACAGACTCTCTTTCCAAAGGCACTTTTGTCTGAACAGAAGAGGAAACAGGCATGTGATAGCTATTATCCACTGAATTAATTCCTCTTTGCACATTTGCTGCTTTCAGCCTAACACTAGTTATTTGTCACTGCTCAGAGTGCTCTGATGTCACTGCCTCTGTACTCAAGGCCACACCAATTAAAGCAAGACTTGTAGTAGAGTGGGAACTTGATGCAGTCATTCAGAAAGCAGACAACTACAAGAGTATATAAAACCTCACAAGCTCCAGAGCTTCTTCTGAGAAAACACCATCAATCAACTCTCTGGCTCCTCATCTGTCCTGCATGCAGCGAACAGCACTCCAAGACAAGTGTGAATTTCTTTTATTCACTCTTTCCAGAATACTAGATGCAAAAGCAACCTCCCCTAAAGCTGTTTGAAACTATGTCTCTCAGTGAACACCTCCCAGAACTATTGCCTGCTTTTATTTATTCATTTTAATCTATTCTTCATTGCCTAGAAAGTATTTGCTGTAGCACACGAAAATCCTTACTTCTTCAAGCATTACTGATACATCTATCAGCAATGACAACATCTTATGGTACAATTTGACTGGCACAAGTTTAGAATACTTGAATTACTAAGAAGCAGCCTTTAATCTGTACCATCACTTCCTTTTTAAAAAAAGCAAACAAGAGCAATCTGTTTGAGAAGTATCTACCACAGCTTCCCTTCCCTTCCCTTCCCTTCCCTTCCCTTCCCTTCCCTTCCCTTCCCTTCCCTTCCCTTCCCTTCCTTCCTGCTTACAGGCACTGTCCAACTGGGGTGAGGAAGAAGAAAAATATTTAATTTTAAAAGTTCTCTGTAAATTATTTATCAGCCAGGCACATCCTTTGGATAGCACACTGCAGTTTTAAAGGTCAGTCTTTTGCAATGCACTATGGCAAGGAACATCTTCTTATGATACCAATAACAGTTTGGAGCAGCTCTTAGTGATCACTCATCCCAGAATGGACGCTCCTAGATTTAGCACCCTGCATCTGCAGGTCACAGACTTTGAGTTAAATACAGAAAAACACAATGGAGGTTCACTCTGTGTTAGTTCTTATTATAAAAAGCACTGATTCATAAGAAAGTTACTCAAATCCAATGTAACAGAAACTTTTAGAGGGAGCAAACTAGAGATCAAGCTTCTTTCTTAAACAGAGCTGCAGAAACACAGTAAAGGGATTTGTTCCACAGCTCTTCTCATTTTCTTCAGTCAAAACTTATTCTAGTGAAATCCTGTAAACAAATCTGAAATGCCACTTAGATCGTTAGGCAGCAGCAATTGAAAGCATTCTGAAGTGACACTTTATCACCCTTGCCATTAAATCTTTAAAGGATGGACGGTTCACACACTTACCAGGTTATGTCTGGATTTATCTAATTTTAACAGTATTCATTTGTTATCTCTGACATCTGACTGTTCAGTTGATTTAACTTAACATGCGTTGATAAAATTTCAAGATGTCTGTTACAAGTCCACTGTCGGACTTCTTCTGGATTTCATCTTTCCATGCTTGGTCTTCTTCCAGGGGAGTGTTGCTGGAATTCCCCCAAAATCCCTCAAGCTGTTCTGCTATTACTGACAAATGGATGCAACAGTCTTTTTCAACAGCACATATTTTGAGTTAATCAATAGCACTAAACACTCAGAGGTGAAAAGTCCCTCAAACTTCAGGTGTCCAGGCTCCTCTCTCAGGAATAAGTTCTTTCTTACATATGAGGATGAGCTTATAATCAAATAAGTCCCACGTGCTTTGCTGGTATTTACAAGGAACGTACACCTCTACAGAATATCTGCTTACCCAAGGTGAGGTCCTCCATTCATAAGGTCAAATACCTGCGCTGGATTCAGTAGCTGCTTGAATCTCCGCAGAAATTTTACTCCCTGGTTGTCTCCACTTTTTGAGTTGACAAAGACCAACAAAGGACTTGTGCAAGAAGGTGGGCAAGTAGCTTTCCAGAAACCTGAGTTAAGGAAAGATGTGAAGGGCAGGGAGGAAAAGTCAAGAGATGGAATGAAAAAACAAACAAACAAACAAGACTCCATACCCTAGTTTGAAGAAGTTAATACATTCCCTCTGCTTATGGCACTCATTGGGTACGTGCCAAGTGTGCACAGCCCTGAATCCAGCACGAACCATAGCTCATCCTGCCAAATGTCACACTTACCACCTAACAGTATGCCAAATTTTGCAGCTTCCCCAGCCCTCCCAAACCACTTCTGCAATAGAGTTGGTTCTTCATAAACGTTAACAGCTGCAGCTCAGCAAAAAACTTGACAGAGTAATAAACTGAATACAAAAGGAAAGCAAAGAGCTCAACACCATAATTCAGCAAGATTTTCTAATCTGCAATTGCAGCAGCACCAAAAGCAGAATTTTAAGTCAACAGAATCTGGCATTAACAGTGTTAACTGGAAGGACTGTGACTGAGAGGAAGAGAAAGAAAGCATTACTGAGTAATGATACTTACCATCTGAATCAATGCTGTTAAGAGCAGTAGGAGGAATGACAGATACTTTGCACAGCCCAAGAGGGCACTTGCTTGGCAACAACTCTTTACACGCTGTGTGCACCTGAAACAAACAAAGTCATTTCAGATCCTTTTGGGGACTGTGATGTACAAAGAAACATCCAACAGGAGGTTTGAAAGGGTAAGAAGGAAAGAAAGAGGGAAAGATCCCTAGGAAATGTCAATCAGGTTACGTTAAAGAATGACCTATCAGGCTTCTATTAACTCTCCTCTACTCTACATTAATATGTACTTTTTCCAACATCTGAATTCACAAGACTAGCATTGTGAGTTTGGAGAGGACCAGATAACAAATTACGTGGCTTTAAGAGCCTTCAGGTGCTGTGCTTTCAAAATGTCCTCCCAAGGAAGCTGTGGATGTCCCATTCCCAGAGGCATTCAAGGCCGGGCTGGACAGCTGGGCAGCCTGATCTGATGGATGATAGCCCTGCCCACAGCAGGAGGCTGGAAGTCAGCCTATGTTTCTGTGATCAAAAGTAGCAACGAAAGAAAAAACTGGAAATTCACGAAGATGAGGCAGGAGCACATGAAGGACACGAGAACTGAGAGAAGAAGGGATTAATCAAGCTACACAAAAGTAAGTATGAAGTAGAATAAGGCACTTAAGACATTAGAAGACTGCAAGACCGAGGGTTTGTATGGGGGTCTGAGCATCCCCCTGTAACACTTCATAAACTCATAATTTGTAACACTTCCCTTATTAATCTCAAAGACAACTGGAAACATAGCAAGACCTGTACACTACAGTGCTTAGGCAAGACAAACCTACTGCAGTGGGAAAGGAAACTACTATTATCAGAATAGCGTTGTATTCTTTGTAATCTTTTTTGATGCATTTTTTCAACTTGTAGAAATGCCAAATAGCAGCTCTTTAAAATCTGAGATCTCCCATACCTGAGGCACTGATTCATATCTACAGTGATTAGATCCTTCTACAAAAGCTCGCTATCAAAAGAAAATGAGCTTGCAGAGAAGTCAGGTATTAATTTCCATTCTTACTTCTATGCATCACAGTGGTGCTTTTCAGCACAACTTATATTCCTACCTCTTGCAGCCTGTTAATCACCTGGAGAAAGCAGCGAAGTCCTACAGAGCAAATACTGCCAGCATTGTTAAGAGATTTCATTTCAAGTAAACCTCATTAAAGGAACAAACCTCAGAGCTGATCCAAGACTACCCTTTCACTGGAATTATCGTGTTCATTCCACTTACCATGGCTTTGCACCAAAGGCAGCGCCAGTCTTGCAAACGCAGGACGCTGCCACAGGTTTTATCACACACAGTGCATTTGGCACTCACGGGCAGGTTTCCTTCCAACCACTGATGTGGCATTGAGATCTACAAATGGAACAGAGGCAGACAACCACCATGGACCTACCAGCATGCAACTCAAGGCTGCAGGATGCACTGTGGCTTTCAGATATACACTATGCAAGTCTTAACATGCACTCTTCGAGGACAGCACAGGCAATTTCTAGAAAACACCTAAAAATCTCTTTTGGCAGTTTGCATCATGCTCAAAAGCAGAGACCAGGTGATTCACCTCAGGTTACACAGGAAATGAAGACTTGCATCAGACATTCGATATAACAAGATACTGTTCCAACCGCTCGTCTTTCCTTTGCCAAAACTCAGACTAGGTTCCACATGCCTCCAACCATTTAACTTCAACTCCCCCTAGCCCACAGCAAGCGTCTCTTGCTATTAAGGAGTCCTCACTGCCTTGGTCGGACTTTTCACACCAAATTTCTTGCCTATTCCACACCACTAACTCATAAAGGCACAAGTGGTATTTGTACAGTGCAGAAAGCACATACCAGTGCTTCCACAACAAGTTAAGGCTAGAAGAGTTAAGATTAATGCCTACCCCATCTTCATCCTCAATGATATCTTTCCCAATAGAGGCCAGAGTTGTCCACTTGCAATTATTGGTGGCCCGCACAGCGCACCGCTTGTGGGCTTTAAACTTGCACACTAGAGAGAAAAAGAACAACATATTAATCCAGCTTTAGAACATATAATGTGGCAGTTTGTGCAAAAGCTTTCCCCCGAATACTTGGCTCCAAAAGAAAGCGTGGGCACACATCAGTCTTGTTAGCACTGCCAAAACTACCAACTCTAAGCATACTAAGTAAGATGAGCTAGCTATTAATTTTTGCCTCATCAATTTCACCAGTTGCTTGTACAAAGTTTCACTATCACCTTGTTTAACTTGGCATGATTTGTGAAGTCAGACACTCCTACGTCATTTTACAGAGTATGGAAGTAGCCTCATTCATGCTAGAGGTATGAGCTGAGTCCAGGCAGGCATGTCTGCTGAAAGTTGAAAAAATAAAATCCAATCCTCCTAGCATTATTTAAGCATTTAACAAGGAGGTTCTTATAAATATCATTATAAACAAGAGTATTCTTATTAATATCTTATCTAGTAACTGAGAATTATATCCTTGTTAACTTCAGAAGTATGATTTTACTAAGGGATGGCAGTAGGTGGGTAATGAAAAAAAAAAGTCAGCTATATTATCATCAAGCCAAATACTAAAATCAATAAGAAGACATCATCATTTCTACTTTAAAAAAAAAAAAAGCCAAGAATCCCATTCTGACTTCTATGTGAAACTTGTCTGAGAAGCCAAAAAGCCAAAGGGATTCTTCCAGCCAGAGGGACGCAGCACCAGGTCAAAAATAACGATCTCCAGTTTCACATACAGGCTGTGGCTCCTTCAAGTTTATTATGCAGTACTTTTCTACATCACCTTCTTGCAGACTGTTAACAATATTCCTCTGAAAAGTGCTCTAGGACACGTCATCAAGCTATCAAACGCTGCTCCCAAAACAGAAGACAAAGCAACACTTACCTTCACATGAGAGCCCATGCGACGTGACTCCAGACAACGCTTCCCGACACACATTGCAGTATGTTGGCCGGGCGTGTGAGCAGGCGTACCAGTTGTGCATCCCTGAGAAATGGTCCATGCTGTACTGGGTAGACTAATAAAATAAATGTATTATGGCAAAATCTAACGTAGCAACACAAGATTTTTTTTCCCCTTAGAACAAAGACTTGCATACAGCAGTGAGAAAAGGCAGAAATGCAATGATTTTATTGGGGAATAGTTTGGCCACGTGCAGTTTACACACGGTAGCTCTAGAAGCTCTTTAAGCCAGAAGAGATTGCTTACTTCTGCGCTACTTCCCCTGCTTGTCTCACTGCAAGTGTGCATATGCAAACAAGCTGGAGAACTTATCTGCTGAAGTTGATCCTTCCCCTTTCCCCCTTTTTTTTTTTAAATTAAGCTTTCAGCAGGACCAGTTCCCCGATGCAGTTCATTGCATAGCAGAGGAATGGTTGTGCCAGCATAGCAGAGGGACAACAGGGAGACAAGCTTCAAGGAGAGAACACAGACAGCTCTTTTTTGGTGGCACTGCTGGTCTAATTAAAGCCTCAGAAAGCGAACAGATACACAGAAATAAGCCAAACAGCAAGCAGGCAAGATGTGAATTAAGACAGGGAGGTTAACTGAAGAGTGAAAAGACAATGGAATAATTATTTTTATGTTTCATAACAAGCCGTTGCTTAGGAGAGGATGCACAGAGTACAATGAACACATTTTCCCATTACCTCAAAATGTTCACGGTTCTGTACAGTCTTCAGTGCTGCAATCCAATCTTCCATCTCTTTTCTGTTATCAGCACAAAGGATGAGCTTCCGACATGGAGTGATAATCTGAAGAGAGAGAGACTATTAATGAGTACACTGGGCAAGTCAGTGAGAGACAGGGAGAGAACATGTTATTGTAAGCAGAGCTTACTGATGCCATTTCTAGAGGTAACAAGCTGTACAACACAAGTCATTTACATCTTTCAATTATGTTTCTCTTCTACCATAGCTTACATTAATTCTTCTGCTAAATTTATAGAACCATAGAGATATTAGTTCTCATTCTCAATGCAGAACTGAGTAAGGAAATGTCTCACATCAGTAATAGCACAACACCAATCAAGCACAGAACAGAAACAGTTAATATACTGCACGTGCAGATCTTCTCTAAGTTGTTTTTTTTTTTTAAGTACTTTTTAAATTGGCAACAGCATTAAAATACTTTGTTAACAGCACAATACACCACTTTCTATCAATTAACAAACTAGATAACATTTCGTATATCAGACCAAAAGTACAACATTGGGCATTTAAGAGGGCAAAATCCTAAAACTGGTAGACAAACCAACATCTCAACAGCTCAGTGACTGCCATACCAAGAGTGATCCCAAAGGAACATGTGTTTCTACCCTGGGCTGCTGCTCCATGGTAGCCAAACCCCTGCCAAGGATGCTATCGGCCCAGGGAGGCAGCCATGCTTCCACACAGCTACCACCGATGCTCTCTTGGTTTATCAGATGGCAGCAGCAGAGAGAAATAAAAGCTCCAGGCTCTTCAGGGGACCACATCCATGGGGCTGTCCATTCAGCTCGGGTGCAGACTTGACAATAAACCAACATCTATTCTTCCTAAGACAAAAGCCTTTCTTCCCCACACTTCCTAACACTCTCTTATGTGTCAACTCTAAAACCTTCCCTTCTGCATCCCCTGCACACTGTATAACTCGTAAGAAAAAAAAGATTTGTCCATACGGTTTGCTTTTCCAGCAGATTGTGTCCAATCATCTGAAACTCAAGATAAACACAAAGTAGGATGAGGTGAGGTGGATGATCTGTGTGCCCCCCCAGGCACACCAAGGGGTGCTGCTCAGGAACACGAAGAGCCCACACACACCCCTGTATAAGACCTGCTAACTACTTGTTTTCTGCACTCTTTCTCACTTCTCTCATTATGATCCATATAACAGATTTAAAAACACCAAAAGTTGAAAGTTAAATTTCTTGCTGATGTCCAAATGGCTCGGAGTGCATGGTAAGAAGTATAGATGTAGCATCAATACAAAAAAAAGATGCATCTAGAAGATTCTGCTTTATTTTAGTTTTCAGAATCTATTTCTTTTTGTAGGACAGACTGTAGCATCCACCTGCAATAACAAATTTTACTGAGACGTACTGCCAGCCCCTAGAAAAACACACTACAAGCACCAACATTAATGAGGCCCCTATTTGAAGCACAGTTTCAGCATGCATGTTGTACTTTGAACAAAACTATCCAACAGAAATTAAGCAGAGCAGGGCCCCATGCTTGAACATCCATAACTGCCTACGTACAGCAGTACCCTATGGAAAGTCCAAGCTTCCAAGGGCCTTTCATTGCTTCAAAAAGAGCAATTTTGGATGAGGAGCTACAAGTTCACTCAATAAGTCACTGGCATGCTCTTGGGCAGAAGGAAAGAAGTAATTTAAAACAGCTGGTGACACTAATTATCAACAGAACGCACTCATTCAAGGCTGTACTTTTTCCTGTTTCTCTTTTCAGTTAAAAAAAAAGGCAAATGCACAGCATTATTTTTAAGTCACCCTGGCAGACGTGAAGTCTAAGCCAATGGGAGAAAAGACAGAAATGCAGAGAATTTAGCCAAGAGCTCAGTGTGAGTATACAGACTTCCTGGATCACTGGAGAGAGTCAAACAGAGGAATCGTCAACACCTGAAAACATCCATGCATCAGCTTTAAATCTCCATGCACAGCATCAGACAACTTTCTGCTGAACAAATAAAGTTATAAGCTCGTAAGGCAGAGGACAAACACAGAGATCAAGGTCTTCATACTTGAACCATCCAGACAAAAAGTCACAGAATTAAAATAAAGGGTCTATTGTGTAACTGCAGAACTGTAAATAAAACACCGCTTTGTGCGAGATGAATTTATGAACAACATTCACCATCACTCAGCACTAAACCAACATTTGCATTGGGATTTAGCAGTATTGTCAGAGATGGGAAGTAGAATACAATCTCAGACCTCACTCTTGTTCTAAGGAGAACCAACCGGGGCAATTCACTGTGAAGGACAGGTAAGACTGAAGCGTAACTAGTATAACGACTCTTTGGAGAAATGAAACAAACAAAGCTGTTTTTTTGCTTAACCTGCAGTGGTGTTACACTTAAATGTTTTACTGAGGATAATAGGAATCCAGGAACCATTACATACTCTGTGCTGGCTGGGTGAGGCTCATCAGTCTGACATCCCACATCAGCAAGAAGCCATCCTCCTCACCACCAGAAGGAGCCCTGGCAATCTTCCCCCTAAGAAGCTGTCCTCCCCCAGGCAGCTGCTGCTCTGAGCCATGTGGCCGGGCAGCCCCTGGGGCACATGCAGCCAGCTAGGAGCATGCTCTGGCTATTTTTTATGTTCCAGACACAGCTTTTGACTAACATCCTGGAACAGTGTATTCCACAGGATGACGACGCACTAGGTGAAGTAGCATTTCCTTTTATTTGTTCTAAATTTACAAAGCAGTAATGTCATCCACTGACCTCTTGTTCTCATATAAAGGGAGAGCACAATAACAACGATCTGATTGCTTCTCAGCTAGGACGGGGGGGTGCCTTGATAGGAGTCAGAAAGAAAATAAATGTAATGACAATACAAAGTCTTAGGATTTATTTATAATCTCATAGAGTTTTGGCCTGCCTGGGGACTGACAGAACTCTGAGTGCTCCTGTGCTGAAACAGCTCTGAATTTTATCTCGATATGAGCAATTACGTAAACTAAAAATGCTCGTTCTTCCTAAAAAGGGAATATGAAGAATGAACATAACTTTTGGATCCCAAATGCTATTAAGCTCTCTGGGTGTGGCTCTCCAGATTTTGGTCCTTGCAGGAGCCGGGTGCCCACCCAACTGCAGCTGGGCCCAGAGCTCAGCACGCAGTGACTTCACTGAGCCCTGATGCTGACAGCAAAGAGCTCCTTAACAGCCACAGAACAAAACCTGCTCCTCAGCTATCAGTCCTGTGAGCCATAGGGCAGTCAGGAATGCCTGAAAATATTTCCAGTCAGGAACAACTTCATTCACAAGGGCTTTGCTGCAGACAAAAGCCCCCAGCAAGCACTGCTGCGCAGAGGAGCTGCCCAAGTCTGCCCAAGTTCTCAACGAGCCAGATCACTCAAAATCCAAAAAAACCCCAACAAAACTACAATAACAAAGAAACTAACCACAGCTTCTCCACTGTCTTGAAATACTGATATTCCCCTGATGCTTATCCATAGCTACCCTCAGCCCCCCGTCCCCTCCCCAGCAGTGCATGCCCCGCAGCAGGCCGTTCATCTCGCCCCACACCCCATGTTGACCCACACACTCCCATCCAAAACTAACACTGCTTTGTTACTGACATTTCAGACCAGGCCAGCTGGCAAACAACAGAGCCAACCCCCCAAATTTTCTCATTTTACATTCTAAAAACGGACTGGATGTCCCTGGATGTCCTTCCCCAATGAACAGCTGTGAATAATTGGATTAGAAAGGCAGCTCAAAAAAAGACTACTTATGTTAGACCCAAATTTTAAATAGAAATCTGCCCCCTGGAAATAGAAATTTCACCCCCCGGTGCTTTCTATCCTGAGCAACCACCAGCTGGAGGACAATCCTCATCTCTGCTCTTGCTGCCACCAAAGGCAGCTTTGCCACCTCTGCCCGCTTCCCCTTCGGCACTTGCTGGCTGCGCAGAAGCTTCTCAGCAAAAAGCAACACCCTGTCTCAGTGCACGGTTTGCTATCAGAGCGGTGTTGGTGAGTTCAGAGACTGCAAGAGACAGCAAGCCGAGCTCAGATCACAGTGCCCAAATGGCAGAGCTGGCTGGGGCTGTGCTGGGGGGGGAAGTGGCGGCGGGGGGGCACCCAGCTCTGCTAAATATAGCTTTTCTGATGCTATACATTTCTCGGATGAGCTAAAAGTGGGTGCATGAGAACACCTGCTCACTCTGACTGCTTCCTTTTTACTCATATCCCGTTCAAATATAGTTTTGTGTTCAAAGGTGTTAGCTATAAATCCCCCAAAGAGATCCCAGATTATTCAAAACTGTTGATTTGGATACAGGGACAGCAGGAATTTCTGGAGCTCGGGCCAAGGAACTCGACTATAAAAATAAAACAGCTAAGAAAATGGTGCTGGTGCAAGCAAAAATTTCAGCTTGATCACACATGGCAAAGGCAGGGACAACAGCCAGCAGCTGTAACTAACTACTGCCTCTGCTTCTGTATCTCGGAGTAAGCTCCGGGCATCCCATGAACACAAACACTCAGGAAGTGACTGGGTGAAGTTACAGTGAGGATGAACAGCCATTTCACCCACTTCAGCTCCTGTTCAGGCAGCAGTGAATGACAGCATATGTAAAAACACCTCACCTGTGCCCATCAGCAAGGTTCACAAGCCAGCAAAGTCACCAGATGCACTGAATGTGGTCAAAATGGGCTGAGTATATATATACATAAACTTTAACTTATGTAGGAAGAGTCAACAGCATGACTCCTGTGCTTAATGATTTGCTGCGTCCAATCTTAATTTCTGGAAGAAATCAAACGACCCACATCTCTCTCCACAGAGCTCTCTTGGGTGGGATCTCAAAGCACTGAATAAGACAGGCTGGAAAGTGCAAGTTGAAACCCATGTAAAAAGTGATACATGAGTGAAGTCCACACCGCCATTTGCGGTGTGCTAAGTAGAAAACACAAAAACACCATGTCAAAATCATATGAAAACAAAACAGATGAACCTGAAAAGCAAGTGCTGCCTCCCAGATAAGTACACTAGGTCAAAAAGAAGGCTTGGATGGGGTTTTAGGCAA